GGTTTGCAGTTGGTCCTCTCGAATTTATTCTCCCCGCTGGTCTACCAATCGCAAGTTTCAAGCCGGAATTCGGAAACATTAATCAAGTACATGGTTAATGAATAGTCAGACATCTGTTACGCATGCCTATCTGCTTAAATACACCTTCTACTAGATATCATACTGTTCCTGCGCCTTCCTGTTAACTATGCATGTGGAGTGTTGAGAGGACCACACTCACGTTAACACTTGAGCTTTATTCTCCGCAGTAAGCTGCACAAACAAACGCACACATTCATCTCTTCTTCTGATATAGGCCTGTCAGTAAAAGGAACTACAAAATTAACGTTCGATGACATTTATCATCGCCTTTTACAATCCTCAGTATGTTATTTGACTTTAGATCTCGCCGCATTATATACAGCCTCTGCATGCTATGCTTTCCCGCCGATGCAGTCTGAGAATTTCTCCCTCAAGCAGCACTTAGATTCAGCTTACGCTTAAATTATTTTACCGCTACAGCGCTAACCACAGAACCTGGGAGCTGCCTCATATCTCCTACAATCAACTAGTGGACGGTCATTCCGAGCATAAATACAGTAGATGTGATAATTTGTGAACTGTTAACCTAAATTCTCAAACTCGTTTCAGACCCGAAAAGATTACTTAAATAGGGTTGTAAGATTATTTACCGTAGAGCATAATTGCAATATAATTCAGTTATCGTGGGATGACGGCCTTTGAATGAACTTCCATCCGGCAGTCTGCAAAAACTACATTCTGCAAAGAATGGCTACATATGTAGCATGAATTTGTGCCATTAATTTTCAGCGCCCGTAGGCATTCAAATATATTTCATACAAATGGTTAATCGAAATATGCATTCATTTGAAAGAAAATTACGCCTTATTTAAATTCTGTACTAGAAGGAAGGGTATAACTAGGTTTCAAAAGACATATCCAACTCCCGAATAATTTGGAAGCCAACTTGCCGTTACGTTTACATCCGGAGTTTCCAAAATGCAAGCTGTATATGTTCCATCTATAAAAATCATGCATTTGTATATGCCATGAAGAGCACACCATATGGGGTTTATGAAATTTATTAGTGCATTTGAGCCACAATGTAGACTTTCCAAGCAGCATCAGTAAATGTGGACACACCATGTTTCATGAACGGGCATTCCATTGTCTTAAAAAGTCTCATAAATTGAAACTATTTAAAACCGAAGTATAACCTTCACTCTGGTACAAAATTTGAAGAACACCTTATTTACTGAGTAAGAGACGTGGTGTGCAGTCCGAGGTGACAAAAGGAAAATGTAGGAGGCCCTTCGGAAAATCTAGATGCACTTGTGAATTTTCAAGTTGGTAACACCAACACGTCGTCAGACGAAACAAATAGAATAGAAAGTGAAATCGATAAAACAGGTCGGTTTGAGTGACAGGACGATTGTTCCGACCGTCGAGTTTGACGATGTCCACCGTGTGCTCCACTGTAAGGTGAGAGCAGGGACGGTGACTTGCGCGTGAATTAGTTTATAGGGATAGTAGATTGCATGGAATCTACTGAACTCTCTCCTCCCCATTCTCCACTTGGACCCGGTGACAAGACAGAGTCGAAAAGATCGGGGGTTGGAGGAGGGCGCCGGAGCTGCACCTAGGCGTGCCACCATACCCCCTGGTCCACACAGCAAATGATCAGGATTTTTAGCCAACAACAACAACACCCCAACAGGAGCCAGAGTTACGAGGATGACTGAACAGCCATGCTTCTACCGGCAGGGAACCAGATGTTAGAGAACTGCCAGCGCATAACAGGCTGCGAGGACCATGGTTTGCTGATACTGGCCTAGCACACACCTACAGAACTTTTGAGCTATAACGGCCACACGTGGTCCTGCATATAACCTGAGTCGTCACCCTTCAAGGTTAGGCAGCCAAACAGTCTTCGACTAAGAGGCACTACCCATAGAGTACACACACACTCTCCACACATACATGATAGTGTCTCAGATCGCTCGAGTGAACCGCTTCAGCTTGTCTCTCAACCCACCGGTCCGCTACTCTACACAAACACATGCACAACTGGGCGGACTGCGAGCACTGAGTTGGGGCGTCAGTCGGCTCCCTTCCGAGCCACGGAGCTAAGCGCACCGGAGGACTCTCAGACTCCAATCGCGCATACAGCTGGGGGGCCGCATAGAGAAGGGGCCGACACGGATGCTTACCACTTGCGTACGAGATGGCGGTTGGGTGTTTGAGGTTGGCGATAATAATTCGCGGAGAGATGTAAGTGAGGGAAGGTGTGATAGTGTGATGCAGCCGGCGGTGGTCTACCGTAGGTTTTCGTGGACACGCATGTGGCCTAATAGGTCCATGCGGTGAATGATTGTGAAAATGCAATGTGGACAGTGGAAGCGCATGCGGCGAGTATAGGTTAGTGCTCCAGGCACTGAGTCTTCAGTCTCTGTGCAATGGATTCGCAAGCGACCGACCAGGCCGATGCATGAGGCGGATGTGCGGGGACAGTGTGAGCATGAGAAGTCGGCGGTGTCAATGTCATCTTCGGTGGTGGTGCTGGTGGTGGCTGCTGGTTGTGGTGGTGGGCGCGATGGGCGACAGAGTGTGGGTTAAAGTTGGTTTGCAATATGTGGTGAGTGTGATGGAGCTGGTTGAGGTGGGCGCGCTAGTCTGCGGAGCGAGGGCGGAGCAAGGCATGGTGGGTGTGCTGAGTGTTTCAGGGCTGCGGTTGATCCCGCTCTCGTAGACACGCATGTGGCCGAATAGGCCCATGCGGTGCATGAATATGCAAGGACAGTGTGGACAGTGGTGGCGAATGCGGCGGGTGCAGTTTGGTGCTCCAGGCACTGGGTCGCCAGTCTCTGTGCGATGAATTTGCAAGTTACCGACCCGGCCGATGTGTGAGGTGAAGGTGCGGTCGCAATGAGGACAGGTATAGACCTGATCCTCACCACTGGTGTCGACGGTGGCGTCAGGATTGTGTGTCATGTTGATTTGTGTGGCGGACGCCACAGCGGCTGACGTTAAGGCAGTAGGAGAGGAGGATGAGGGTGGAATTGGTGGTGCAGAAGGGCGGTCAGAGTTGGTTGACGACGTACAAAGCGAGGACGACGTGTGCGGATGGACGACGGTTGGTGCAGTCCAGGTGCTGCAATTGGTCCGAAGGTGTCTAACAAGTCCAATTGGCGCCCAGAATGTCAATGGGCACCGTGGACACGTTAGGGCGGTTGAGCGTTGGAGTTGCGAGGTGGGTGCAGCTGATATTTGCGTGCTTCTCGTTTGGCTTTCGCGGTCGCGATGCGCTTTGCCTCGTAGATCGCTCCGCATATCTTCACTGTCCTCCTCCAGGTCGGTAGGTCTCGAGCGAGGTCTTCGCAGTTGGCCGTACTTATCTGCAGACGCTTTAGAAAAGTCTTTAGAATGTCCTTATATCGACGGATTTGGCCTCCTTGGCAGCGGGAACCCGTGGCGACATCTCCATAGAAGGCTCGTTTCGATAACCGCTCGATGTCTGTCCGCACGAGATGGCCGCTCCAACGCAGTTGCAGTTGTCTCAGCATGACAAAGATACTGAGGATCCCCTTCCACTCAAATACGTCAGTGTCGGGTGCTCGGTCAGAAGGATGACGGAGCTGGTGGTTTCCTTTCCGTTTGTATAGATGCAAGATTGTGGCTTATTTCAAATTCTGTAGGACTTCCCTTTGACGCCACGTCTCCTGGAAGAGTGCTGTCAGATGATCCATGAGTTGGGGGTCACCGTGCTTGTAGGTCCCAGCAGGGATCGTGTCCGATCCGGGCGCTTTAACGCTGGAGAGCTGCTCCACGGCCCTAATGGTTTCATGGGGAGAGGGGGGGTTGTCGAGGTCGACTTTGGTCTCCACTTGCGGCAGACAGGCGGTAGCGATGTCGGAGATGGCGGAGGAACGGTTGAGGACGCCTCAGAAGTGTTCGGCCCACCGCTATAGACTTGGCGTCTTCTCAGTGGGTAGGGTATTGCGGCGGCCCTAAGAAGAGGTGTAGTACCTTTGATCGGCGGACGGTAGGCAACTTTGATCGCAGAGAAGAAGTTCTTCCATTTATTGCGGACCGCGTAGCTTTGGATCTCCTCGGCCTTGCGTCCTGCATTTCGCACAGTCGCTGTTGCATAAGGCGGCGACTACGGTAGAAAGCAGCTTTCTGGAAGGTTGTCTAGCTGTTGAGGTAGCTCGTTGCTGAAATGGAGATGGCGAGCAAGCAAAGAAAACAGGGTATTATCCAACTGACCGTGCGTCCTGCATCTCGCGCAGGCGTTGTTGTACATTACGGCGATTAGGGTAGAAAGCAGCTCTGTTGTCACCTGTGGGGCTATCGACGCGAGCCTTGTGCAGGCGGTTTCTCACACACACAAACGACATTTCGTCTGTTTCGACGATGTTCACCGTTTGCTCCACACGAAGTCGGAGCGCGTGAGTCAGATTAAGGTTGTAGTAGGCTTGCGCAGAATCTACCGTACTCTCTCTTCCCCATTCCCCACCTAGACCCGGTGTTAAGTCAGAGTCACGAAGACCGAAGGTGGGGGGCGGGCGCCGATGTCCAGCGGTGAGTTCACCCGACGGTCATAGTAGGTCTCTCGCTTGCTTGCAGGTGCATACTACGCCCAGAGTCCCTTTGCTGGTGCCTAACTCTCATATGTGGCTCCCTGGAGCTAGGCTTCGCCTAGCGGTCACACCCAGGTAACCGACTCGAACGGCGGGCTAAACCAGTTGAGGGTATCCGTGTGTGCTTCTGGGCGCACGGTAATGTGAACTGCGCTGGCCGGATGGATCTGTGCATCGGCATCGTGGAGACGAGGCTCCGCCTGGAGGGCACAAGTATACGGCGAGTAGTTCTTCCACTACACCAAAGCCATGGTCCATTGTGGAGTTCGGCAGCGTCTGACACAACCGAGCAGGCCTAATTAGGGCTGGCATTGCTTACCCTTGCGAGGGCGAAGTGGCTAGAAAAGGTGCCCTAAACAAATGCTGGAAAACAACGTTGTCTGCAGGCTGACCGTGGTCGCAGACGTTAAACTCACGGTTGAAACAACCAAAGAAGAAACAAAGCACTCCATCTCTTCCTCCTTCTTCCCGCCGGCCCACTCGCCAGACTGGTACGGTTAGTCCGTTCACTCTGACAGTCTGGAATATTCGTTCTCACTCAGACAATTCGAGGAGCAACCGACCAGAAAGGAGGACGGCGCTAGTGGCTCGGGAGCTGCCGCGCCACAAGTTGGACAACGCTCCAATCAGCGAGACGCCGTCCTCCGAGAAAGGCCAGCTAGAAGATGTGAGTGCCAGCTACACCTCCTTCTGGAGCGTTCGCCCCATGGCAGAGCGACTAGACGTGGCTATCGCCTTTGCAACCCGGAACGACCTCGTGGGACGACTGCCCTGTCTGCCGCAGGGCATCAACGATCACCTCACGAGCCTCCGCCTGCTTCGTCGGGAAGGCGAATTCGCCACCATCATCAGCGACTACGCTCTGTCGATGACCAGCCCTGACGCCGCAAGGGACAACTTCTAGGAGGACCTGCGCGCCCTCCTGGCGACTGTGTCGACAGCAGATACGTTGATTGTCCTTGGTGACTTCAACGCCCGCATCAGCACAGAGCATGCTTCTGGAAAGGTATGCTGGGTCCCCATGGTCTCCGCGGCACAAACGACAATGACCTGCTCCTC